AGGTTGTTCCAAGTATATGGCGGCGTTTGTGTTCTACGACCCCATTTTATTGAGGCGTATAAACACAAGAATGTTGCTAATGGGTGTGGGAAGATGGTTAATGAGATGAACGGCAATGAGTACACATTCACCCAAAAAATGGAGGGGAAGATTAGCTTGAAAACGCAAGGCATAGCCTATTCCAAGTATATGGTAGCGTTTGCGTTCTACGACCCCATTTTATTGAGGCGTATAAACATAAGAATGTTGCTAAATAACTCCATGATCTTTAAAGAAATCATGAAAGGAAAAAAATTCCCCACCATTGTTGACTTGTATTTGGCAAATATAAGTATTAAATTGAGTGTTGACAAAGGAGAAAAAATTATTAGGGATATGTTGTGTTTCATTTTTGTGTTGCATAAAAAAAGTCCATGTAAAACGAGAATAATCATCTACGATGGTCAAAAAATACTTTTCCCTAGAAGTAGAGGCAACGTTATTATAGTTAAAATAGAACTAATACCAAAAGGTAATCGACATTGCTTTGCTAATGGACAAATATCACAAGCATTATTGGACCCAAAAGGAAAATGCAAACATTGTTTTGACATGAAATCTAATCTAGGGGCTGATAAGTGACCTAAACGCCGATGCCATAACTCCACATGTGAGAGCAGAAGGTTGCAGGACTGTCGAGGATGGTCAGACTTCAGAGGAGCCAAGACCAGAAGTAATAGAGCCCTCATCTTCGCTTACCTAAACCAATCACCATCCTCATCGTTTAGTCCTGCATGACACACCAAGAAAGGAAAAAGGTTACAAACAATGTAATCCACTTGTAATATGACTCACTGACATCAAATCTACTTTAAAAGTAGGCACACATAGCACATCTTGCAATTTAAAAGTAGAACTCAAGGGAATGTGACCAATATAGAGTATGTGAGCTTGCTCTACACTGGGCAACAAAATAGAAGACCTTTTCGTATTTTTAACACCATCAGTAAACAATTCTGGTGACGAAGTGATATGATCCATTACAGCACTGTTGATTATCCATCAATGGAGGTGCAAAGGTGATTTCGACAAACTTGTCTGAGTTACATTAGCCTGTGGAGCATCACTTCCTTGGCCATTCATAATTTGAAGAATTTGTTGAAATTGGATGTCAAAAAGCCCATACATGACAAAATGCATCTCCTCCTTGGTGGCTGCATTTTTCGAGACTTGATTAGTCGAGGAAGACTCTTTTCCTTCTAGGGACGGTTGTTCCTTTTTTGTGGCTTAACCTTATGTAAACGATGACCCAATGGATATTCGTGAAGTTGATAATATGTATCAATGGTATGGTAGCCTTGATCGAAATGAGTGCAATGCAAAGGTTTGCAATTGGAAGAGCCCGAAGAATAAGATGACTTCAAGCCACCTTGACGAACAACCATGGTTGTTGTGTCTGCAGTAATCCGTGAAGAAGCAAGGCTCCTTTGCTTCTTTTCCTAAGAAATGGTTACATAGGCTAGACGAATTGTAGGTAGGGGATTCATCAACAAGACCTACCCTCGAACGACACTATAAGAGTCATTAAGTCCTAGAGAAAGTGCATCAATTTGTTCTACTCATTCTATGCTCCACAAGTGCAGGAAATAGAGTCATTGTAGGATGCCAATTTATCCCACAAACTCTTCATCTTCGTGTAGTATGCAACAATGAAAGTTGGTCTTGTGTAAGTGAAGCAATGTCCCAAATCGCATGAGCATCAGTCGTATAAAAAATATTGTGAAAGATACTCGAGTCTATGGAGTTGATAATCCATGCAACGATCATGTCATTGCATCTCTTCCATGAAGCATGATCATCTGACTTGGTCTTGACAGAAGGTTACTTGACAGTGCCATCAACCAAGCCAAGTTTGTTTTTAGCACTCAATGAAATCTTCATAGCATGAGACTAGGTAGAATAATTGTCCCCATTGAGGGGTTTCAAAACCAACATCATGGATGGATGATCGGAATGATGGATGAATAATGGGTTAGAAATATCAGCCTTGGTGTTGGAATTGCTTCAAGAAATCACGTCGATAGCCATGACAGTCAACGGAAAAAAAGCTATGTCAAAATAGCAAGAGAAAATGCAGCGGAAAGAACTAGGTTTTCAACCTAGCTCTCGACACCATGTAAAGAAACATATAAAGAATATTTTGCAGAAGCAATTTTCTTTTATTGCTACAAGGAGACTTTATACAATGAGAATCCTAATCAAGGAAGTAATCTAGCCTACATTCTAGGATTACAAATAATCACAATATAAATTACAAAATAGTTTCCTAAACTATGTCAAGATATTAGGGATGAAATAGTTAACTTCTCAACAGGTTGCCACTACTCCACACTTAAATGCCGCCAACTTTGTCTTCCTGCTTTAGGCATCCGCGCTCGACCTAGTTGGTCCTTCCAAGCTTATACTCTAACACCATATCAATCAAAACTTGGCAAGTTTGTCTTGCTTTCCACCGCCCCTGTTTTGGCATGGGTTTTTTCTTGGTCAAGAAGTCACCTATCACAAGACTATCCATCTTGACCACAAATCATGACCTGCCTCTACGTTCTCAAGTAGTGCACTATCGTTGTCATCTCCTTCTTTTGGACCACACCTTTCGATTTCATAGAGTTTTCAGCTCTCATATACTACTGGGTTACCTTATCATACTAGCACGCCACCTATGGAATAGCCTGACGCATCCGTGTGTTCTTTAAATGTTTTCATAGGACTTATACAAATATGCATATATCACTTTAGTAGAATGATGTACCAAAACCAAGCAAGGGTTGCATAGCAACGTCTAACAACTTGAAAACATATTCCAACCAATCAAAATAAAAAATAATAAGAAACAACACATATTTCAAATTTCTTGCTGAATCAACAATTCACATAACTCCAAAAAGAAAAAACGTACTAGATGAACATTGCATGCAAACTGAAGCAACATAGCAGGTTCCTAAAATGTTGACTAATCCCTAACCAATAAATTCTACGGAAAATTAATGAAAAGGGTTTGAAAACTTTGAGTTTTAAAGATAAAGATAAAATAAAGGGTAAAGTGAATAGTATCATGATTGACTTTTTAGTATAAAAATATGGTTTTTCATTAAAATGAACAGTATCTGAAGTTTTTCGTTAAAATTCTCAAAATTCTAAACCCATAGATGACATTAGTCAGAGTAAATATATGGTTAACAAAAATTTTCAGGATGGTGGCTTTTAAACCTCTTAATACAATGTTTTTTTTAAACAAACTTCGTCGGAACGTGGAAATCTTTTATTGATATAGGAAAAATGAATTTACACCCAAGTCAAGTGGGAGATAAACCTAACTCTTCTAAGACAACACCTAAAGGGTATGTACTTCAGAACAAGCTGCAAAACAAGAAGATTAGGCAAAAAAATGAGTCTCCAGGGGTGGAGCCACATGCCAAACGAGGGGAAGATGATAGTAGTTTTAAATTGGCTATTGTGTCGACGACCGCATTCCCTTCTTAAAAAATATTAGCATATATTTACCATTTGCAGCAAGTGAAAAAGACAATTTTCCAACTAGTCAAGAGCGACTAAGATGAAGGAAAAAAAACCAAAAGAAAAGCAAAAAATCGAAAAAATGACTTTCAAATCACAGATTTCGCAATAATCAAAAGAATATCATTGCTCCCCCACCCACAAAAAAAATAAAATAAAATAAAGGAATAACATTATTTTTCCTTATGGTAACGCGGACATAATTTTTTTTTTTTTTCCTCTCATGCGACAAGTAGAATATATGAATGAACAAGGAATACTTATGTTTATCTTCAGTGTGCTGCTCATACGAGCATCCTCAACAAAGCTGATTGATTACAGCTGGAAAGCAAACCACCGTTCATTATATTAATAAAAAAGCACACGAATGTCCAGCTCGCTAAAAGACTTCCGAGTCTCATTTCATACATTTAAGAAGCAATCAACAAGAAAATGATCAAATTATTTTTATAAGATATATTTACAATAATTAATAATAGATATGGGTTGCTAGGACCCAACATAATCCTTTCCGGATATTTTTTTTGTAAAGATTCTGAAAATCTATGAATTGTGTTCATTTATCGTACATCATGTGGTTAATTTTTATTAGGTACTATTTGTACTTAATTTTAAATAAAAAAATTAAAATAATTTATAATCGTATGATTTACGATGAATGGACATTATTTAAGGATCTCCAGGATTTCCACAAAAAGGATCATCATTCTTCTCAAAATTAGGCAAGAACTAGCAATGGTGCCCGCGCAATGCTGCAGGTTTTTAAATAGCATATAACATGTAGAAAGTTATTTTTACAATTCTGCCTAACTCAAGAAATAGATAAAAGTTTGTTTCTCACCTAAATATACGAATTTGAATCTTAGTGGTGAAACACAGAAAAAAAATATAACAGTTCTATGAATTGTATAGAGAGAAATGGTCACAACAATTTTAGCCTATTACATTTATGGTTCAAGTTTTGAACAAAGAATTAGTTTATCGGCAAAGATTGGATATAAAGAAACATAACAGTTCTATGAATTGTAAAGGAGCAAATATGATGAAAGACATACCAAGATTTGATGGTCATATGTTGAGAAAAGTCCACATTGCTAATTGACGTATGGTATTTTCAATAAATGAACGGTCGAAGTTGCAAGAAAAAAAAAATCAATTTATGAGCAGTTGGAAGAATCATTATTTGTTAAAAAGGTGTTGATTCAAATATAAACAAATGAAACTAACTTTAAAAGAAAGGCTTATCGAATGTTGCTCCAAATTGAGTTCAGAATGAGTGTAGTTGTAGAAATTCTGTGCAAGACTGTGTTGAAGACACGTAAAAAGTAGATCACAGAATATTTACATCACCGTAAATAAAGATGTTGGAAGTGGTTTATATATAAAATATTAAATTTGTACAATTCAGATACAAAAGATTAAAACCTATTTCTTTACAGATAGACAAAAAAAAAAAAAAAAAAGACATAAAGTGATTGATTGGATTCTACCATTTGCATCTACCTCTCAAGTGGAACCAGCATGTACATACAAAAAAATATTATGAAGTCCAGACCAGAGAGACATTTACATGGCAGCCAAATATTGTTCATGCAAAAAATATTATGAAGTCCAGACCAGAGAGACATTTACATGGCAGCCAAATATTATCAATATTGTTTGATACATATTAACAAAAAAACGGTTATTGCATTTCAGTATCGGAGATGAGTTTTGGCACTGCATCGTTCATCCTTAAGCAAGCAAGCTAGGGAAAAGAAAGAAAATAATACAGTTAGATGGATATTAAATATATATCAAAATAAATGTAGAGCAACAAAAGAAGCCATGTTTAAAATATAGCAACCTAGTTGGTTTTTTCAGGAGTGGTACCAAGTTTTCCGCTAGTTGGTGACGATTTCTTTTTGAGCAACTTTATTGGAACTTCATCAAACTCCCTTGGATCCGCCTCTGAAACTTCTTCCATTTCTCTGTTTTCAATGGGCTACCAGTGTTAAATAAAATGAATGAAAAATAATTCCAAAATTATGTTTTGAAAGGAAGTTACGAAACAAACCTTTGCTCATTGTTGGTGAAAAGAGTCCTCTTGATTGATTCCCTCTTCCTTTTATTCGATTGTTCAGTAGTTTCAGCACTTGAAGTAGAAGACGAAACCGTCGTGGGAGACCCTATGATTTCTCTTGACAAAGGCAGTGGAGTTGTTGGTTGCATGGTTGTATCGTCGGTTACATTGTGAATGATGACATTGCTTGGATTGAAATTATTTCTTCTATTTCCAAACCGCAGATGGAAAATTTTCTTTTGCCCGATTAGTCTAAGAAATTCATTTGGTAATTGCTGATGGTCCACCAATGTCTGATTGAGAACCAAATCTTTGCAGCTCATGCCAAAAAGTTTTTCACCACATTTTCCAATTATCAAAGCATCAATCTCATTGGTTTCATCTTCGAGTATCAGATTGACCTTATACCTACATTTAAAAACCTAATGTAAGATCACAATGAAATATCCAAAACAAAAACAACCATGAGAAATTTAGGTGTTTAAAAAAATATCAGTAGTGAGATTGAAAAATTACATACCATTGACGTAGCGAAAAATTAATTGATTCTAAACTGAAAAGCGCAAAGTAAAAAAAAATTCAACTCATGGTATACATGGTAGCAAAATTGCAGCACAACATGTTAAATATTACCAAGGTGTTGGAATTTGATTTGGGTGTTTTTGAAAAATTAGCTGTGCAGTTGTTGGGTCCTTATGCATTTGTTTTACACAAATGGGGCAGACACTATACCACCAATCGTAACGTGTGTCAAAATGCTTCACAGCTGCTTTACATAGAAATGTTTCATCCTGTAATATATTTTGTCATATATGTGTGAAACTGACAACAATCATATGCATTCTTTTTATTGAATGTGTGAAATCACAGTTGTAAAATTTTAAGAGAACATTAAAAGGGATAATCAGGTTTTAAACCTTGTACAAATCTGGATCCAAGAAAGCCAATTCATCAATTGTAACTTTTTTCACAGTCTGTAGAAGTTTAGCTTCATTTGCCGGTCTGAAGACGGAGGCAATATTTTTGGAAATTCTTTGCAGTTGGAAAACCTGCATGATTGAAAAGATCACATTGTTTGAACAATATAGAAATAGCATCTGTTTTCATTCAAGAATAATAGATATATCGTTATTTTGTTCCAAAAATTAGAAATATACTTACACTGACTTGTAGGAATCCACTTCCGGGATGTCTGGATCAATGAAAAAAAGTGATGAACCGGTACTGTTTAAGACAATCTTGCCTGCGCATTGAAATCATGGCAGAAAAAAGGTGATGAAACACAAATGATGACGGATACAGTTTAAAATTTGTTTTAATAGTTGCATCATTGTATCACAAAAAGTAATTAAAAAAAAAGAAAAAAAAAAAAAAGGGTACGCATGGCATACAGATGATGTTTTTTGTGAAAATTTTTATAAACTGATAACAGAATTAATTGGGACATGCAGTGGATTCCTAAGTGAGTGTTCGATTGAGAATAAAGTTTTAGTTATTTTGTAATTGTCAGTCGAGACTATCAATAGCTTAATCAACTAAATATATAAAACTGGAGAAAGCAGAAAATAAGTAGAAATATGACAAACAACAATCATTGAGCACCAATATATTCAGATAGCTGCAAATTGACTGGTTAGAAAGGGTGGCAACGTAGAATGACTAATTGTAACAAATAAATATAATAAAATCCAACAATTGTTAAACACCAAAAGAATTTAAATGACTTAGTATGGACAGAGAACAAAATAAGGATGCAAAAGATTAATTTTAAATTAAATGAAATACCTAGGTAGTGTCTGACTTTTAAACTTGTGAAAACAACCACGACTGGCAGCGAAAATGCCTCTGTTGACAAAGAAGAAAAAGCTTCACCAATGTCTGCCCATAACGTAACCGTGAGTTCTTCTTTTCTGTGGATCAAAAAATTCGCAAGTAAAAATTTAAATTTTTACAACAGCAAGGGAACAAAGACTGAAGACAATTTAGGCTAATTACAATAAAGGGTGAAAAATGACCTTATATTCTGAATGTGCACATCACATTTGTATGCAACCCTCTGATTAATCTGTTTTTCTTCCAAGGACTGTACGGCTCTTATACAACCGATAACATCTTATAATTTAAAACATAAATATAAGCACATTGTTAAATACTACTTTAGAAAATAAATACCAACGCGTTTGAATGGATTTATATGCATAGACATGTTCACCTGTAAGGATGTCAACCCTGTCCAAGCGAGGGTAAAGTGTGTTGTAATCTTGTAGAAAGAACCGATGGCGGGGGATGGGTGGAAACACACTGGCCAATTTTTTAAATTTTGTTACCGCATTAAACAAAACTTGAGTTTCATGCGGGATTACTTTGTATTGTCCCCTGATTTTACTGGTACGGAAATCAATGATTTCATAGCATCCACCAGCTTCAATCTTCGCAACCATAACATCATACTCAACATTTAATGTGGTCGCCTCAACAGCATCTTGCTTCACAATTTATCATGCCAAGACAGAGAAGGAAAAAAGTTACAAAAGTAATTAAAAAATAAATAAAAATATAGATTATACTATCAATAACACAAAGAACAGCACACTTATCAAATTGTTAGCATGAGGAAAAAGAATTATTGAAATAATTAAATTATTTTAATCAACACTTGAAAAGAAATGTATGAATGCCAAAAAATTTAAGAAAAAAAAATGTAACACCATGGAAAAAAGGTAAGAAAATAAAAAATTCATAAAAAAAGGTAAGAAAACACTGATCTGTTCATTTTGTGTAACACGGCATACTTAAATTTTATTCCCCAACATCTAAAAAATAGGGGTAGAAAAATATTTTCTGGCTAGTTAATTATTAGTATTACCGTCTTTGATTAAAATAATGAATCAATAATCTCACCATTTCATCAACTAATATACAGTTCAAAGCTGTATATTTTTAAACAGTGCCTGGGATTGTCGATTTCCATATCCTGCATATCTAGATTTTGATTTTTTTTGCTTTCGTGTATGGTTTTAACTGATGAATAGGAGTTGGCTGTGTGTTTTCCATTTATCCTGCAACAATGAAATTTACATAATATGCCACAAATTTATCCAAAAGCATAAAAAAAACACTGAAAAGAAAACTGAAATCATTTGTTATTTGTCCATCCATGTTTGTGAGGAAAAATTTAACAGCTTAATTAATAACCAAAAGTAATAACAATTAGAATAGAGAACCTATAAAGTTAGAATTCAATTAAAAAAAAAAAGATCTAAAACCTACACCTGAACAGATTCCTAAGACGAATCAGTCAAGAATTGGTTTTAATCTAGTCATTTATGTCCAGACAATCTTCCCAGCACACAGGAAAGACAGTCCGACACTGGTTGAGTGCATCAGTTTGCACATGATGACCTTATAAATTCAAAGAATTCCTTCTGCATACATATGGTTGGTGGGAATTAATTTTAATAATCTTGTCATGTAATACTATGTAGCTAATTGTTGGTGCAACCTGATTTACTCGTATGTATCAATATGTATAATGTGATTGTGCATACTATGTATAAAGATTTTGAGAGGGAAGCTGCATGCTTCTAAGTCAAAGGTATCTGCATGAAGGGTGAATAGAGGTTTCATTGGCTTCAAAAGCTTGCCATTTTGTGTTTGCTAAAAATAAAATGGGAATCAAACGACACAGTCATACTTAGAATGTCAACACAGAAAACGACAGAGTCATACTTAGAATCCCAACACAGAAAGAAAAACCCTATTATTCTATAAGTCTCAACCCCTTAAAAAATCGAAAGGAAATAGTTTGCTCTAAACCTTCAAAATCGGTAAACCCAAATTCAAACAAAAGACCTAACTCTAAAAACAAAATTAAAAACAAAAAAGGGCAACCAATTGGAAACCTTCAAAATCAACCAAACCCAAATTTAAACAAAAGACGTAACTCTAAATACAAAATTAACAAAAAAATAAGGCAACAAAAAAGACACAACTAACCAGAAAACAGCAAGACTTGAAACGCCAAGAAGGCGGTGTGCGAACCGCTGAAGCAAGGATAAGAAGATGAAGATAGAAAACTGAAAACGAAACAAAACGAGGCGAGAGAGAAGCAGAAAAACGAAAGGAAAAAGTAAACAAAGAAAGGAGTGAAAATGAAACAAAAAGAGTAAAAATCCTTTGAACAGAAATACTGCTGATGATCAACACGTGTACAGCATCTACTGAAAAAGCAGAACAAAACCCCAAAAAAAAAATAAAATAAAAAATAAAAAATAAAAAGACCAGAGACGGAGGAACGAGATATGCGCTGGCAGCAAGGACAAATAAGAGAGCAAACGTGCAGGAAAAAAAAATTAGAAAAGAAGAGCTGAAAAGCCAAATGCAAGAGATGATCAACACGTGTCTGCCCGCGCAGTATATATATATATATATATATATATAATTTTATTTTTTTCCTTTCACTTCACATCATGACCTCACACTTTCAGATTAGACTATCTTTTCTTATATATATATATATTCCTGCGACTTTGCATTTATTAGCCCTTTTTCGAGGAATGAGCCTTCGTTACTACCACCACACAACTGCAATGGCATCCCTGATTTCTGTCTTTTTCTTAAATGGAAGGGAACGGTTGTCCATCAATTTTCTTAGTATGCTAAAAAAAATATTAGAAAACAAAAGCCAAGCACACCAAACCAGTTTTTTGTTGAAAAGTCTGGTGGGTAATGAATGCCCCATAGAAACTGAAGACATTGGGTAGATTTTCGATGCCCATAAAAATTAATCTTGACTTGGGAGATGAAGGAAGAACATATTGTCAAAGATGTGTGCTTGGAGTTGCTCTATAAATAGAGCACTCCGTATGCTTTCAATATAGAGCACAAAGAGAAAGAGACGAGGGAAGAGAAAGAGAGGAAGAGGAGAGGAGAGAATAATTAGAGTTATCTTTGTACTCTTATTATTCAAATTATAATGAAAACACTACTGCTGCCCGAGGACGTACTCCAGTCACATTAACTGTAGAGGAACCTCGTAAATTTTGGGTCTTGTTTTATTTATTCCACTGTACACACATCGTCGATTTTACAACATGTTATCAGCACTAGAAGCTCTCATGTCAGTGGAAAGTACAACGTCATAAATCCGGTGAAGCACTATCCACCTCTCACCTCCGTCATCTAAAATCTCACAGAATAAAAGATATGTCCATTTTTCGTCTCTCCCACTGCGCCAGAAGCACCCCACCGAATTCCGGTGAGAATTGAAATTTTACGACCTGAAGTCGTCACGAGATGAGAAAACTCATACCTGACAACTGGTTTCCAGAGATCCAGAAGAATCTCATCAGATTTGAAAACCCAGATCACGTTGTTTTTTACGGATCTTGAGAACTCCCATGAATACTTGGTTGTTTGAGATGGTGATGGCAAGAATGAATCCACACAGGCCTCCCTCTCTTGTGCCTCCGTCAACCCCACAGTCATCTATGTCTGTGTAGGGAGGTTCTTACTTAACGATGCCATGTTCCCTGGGTCATGCAAGAACAACGCCAGTCTCTAGTAGCCTTTTTGGATTGAATTGAATTTGGGCAACCTCCATAACTACCCAGCTGGCCTTGTGTTTCAAGACTAGCAGAGACAGAGAAGGAAGAAAAATAATAGAAAAGGGGGATTGATGGAATGGCAAGCACATGTGAAGAAGAAAAAAAAAGGATGTTGACTGCAGCCTAAGAAAAAAGTATATACAAAAGGATTTGAATAGTGCATGACACCATTTGGTCAAAATAATATAAATAGGTTTTTGTTGGTGCATGGCACCATGTTGCAGAAATAAGAAACGTAACAATAATAAGGTTTGAATAAGTGTTGACAAAAGAAAGAAAAATAATAAATAAAAGGAGGTATGATACTTCTTGTTATTTATGTGAATTGGTGTTGTTTAAAACCCTTTCACAAGTTCTATTTCCTTCAAAGCAATTTATTTATCATAGACGGTTTTACCGCCTACTGCTTTAAGTTTTGATTTATGTGAATGGTGCTGAATTAAAGCCCTTGTCACAAGCTTTATTTACTTAAATGCAATTTATTCATTATGACTGGAATTACCGCCTATTGCTTTAATTTATTTATTGTACTTCTTTTTGTTACGATGAGTACATACTGGACCCGAAGTTCCCTGATCAGATCAGAACCTGCAGTTTCTTGATCCTCATCAAATAAAAATGATTGGACCTGAAGTTTCATCAAACAAAAGGATCGGGCATGAAGTCCCTTGATCCTCAAGATCACGACATGAAGTTCCTTGATAAGTACCTTAAGTTTGAAGTGCCGCAGTGTCTCAACTTAATTGCAATAAAAGCCATAAGAGTCTAAATCTACAGACTATTAAATAAGGACCAAAGTTCCTTATGTCCATACTCAAAAATGGTTTAGCAGAAGCATTTATTAAGCGGATGAAATAGATTACCCGCGCTCTGCTCACGAAAACAAAATTGCCAGTTTTTACATGGATACATGCTATTTTGCATGATGCATTATTGATTTGGTTGAGACCTGTTGACAACCATCAATATTTCTCAGTACAACTTGTGTTTGGGAACCAGCCAAACATTATACATTTACAAGTTTTTGGTTGTGTTATCTATATGCCTAATGCACTACCACAACATACTGAAGTGAAGCATCATTACGGATTAGGCATTGATGTTGAACATCATCTATCATTCAATATTCAAAACCCTTGATTGAGGATATATTTACCGCGTGGTTTGCGGACTGTCATTTTGATACAACAATTTTCCCGCCGTTAGGAGGAGAAAATAACTTCATTCCAAAAGAACGATGAGAAAATATCATTCCAGAAGAATGATGAGAAAAAAAAACCGTTCCAGAAGAACGAAGAGAATTTGTCTTATTTTGATTCATGAAGCAATTAATATACAAACAAAGTGAGAATAATTGAATGATGCAAAGATATGCAAATCAAATGCCAGTTACATTTAATGATGCAACGAAAGTGATGAAATCACATATACTTGCTGCAAATGTGCCTACAAGAATTAATGTCCTTGTTGGACAATATAGTAAGGCAGCAAATGATTTATCTGTTGCACGCCTAAAGCATGGCAAACCCTCAAACTTAAAGGTTCAGTCCTTCGAAAGAAGAAGAATATGGCACTACTGAACTATTATATTCTCGAAGCATAACTGTCGTATGCCAGACGCATGACAGTTGCCGTAAGGATACTTGTCCCAGAAAGGACAATCCACAGACATAGGAATATTGATTTCTCATGCATGAAGCATGATAGATGTAGAGGCTCCAATGACTCAACTTCCGAAGTGGAGATTAAAATCCAAGCTCTATAACGTTCAAAAGGAGGTTATGATCCGCATTCTCTAAACTATAACTATCCTGGAAGAGATAGTGTAATGCCCTTGAAGAGGCAATGGATATCTCAAAAGAAATGAAAAGCTTTTATGCATGTGCATGCACATGAGAATATGGGATCACAGATTGATGATAACCAATGGTAATTTTGGTTTTTACAAGTAGGTACTAAATTCATCAATGAGCTATGGTGATATTGAGTCCCGTTTTTTTTTCCATCAACAAAATTATGGGCCAAAAATGGAGAAAGGCAATTCCGTTACAATTTTGTAAGAACGTGGAAAAATAGACCTATATACTTGAATACAATACAAATAGCCAAAAGATGTTGAACCTAGAAGGTTACATATGGGCATTTGTAATACCTTGAAATACACTCACATGATATGACACATGGTTGTGACGGAGTTCATATGAATGGAGAATTATATACGAAGGGTTATGAATCACCCACATCATATCTCCATAAGTAAATCCCTCAAATATACATGGAAGTGAATTGCTCTGTATAAATTCTAGAGGAAAATGTGTCATGAAATGTAGAAAATCTCTGAAGGATTCAAATTACTTGAAGAAAGCCCCGGAAGGGTAAAGCATAAAATATATACTCAATACCAATGGATGATATAAATTGCCTTAGTGAGCACTTTCATTATGGTATTGTTGCAACATACTAAAATCTCTTGCAAGAGTTGATGATATTAAATTGGGACTCCTGAAGAGTCAAGAAAGATTATAAAGTGTTGAGAGAAATATTGTCTCGAACTGCAGAATCAAACAATATGCCAACACAAATCTTATCCATGATGTTTATGATATTAAAGAATCATATGGATT